CAACTTGTATATGAATATTTGCACGGAAACTGCATTTACTACATACAATACATTTTACGTGAAAATATTATAATATAGATACCCTGATACCAGGACAACCATTTTCATCCAGAAAACATTAAGCTTAGTACTCATTAGAGCTTGCGGCTATGTGGCTTCACGTCGTCGACTCCAGGTATTATTATTATCCCTCGTTTGCGACTTTCGGCCGACGATCGATGATTTTCACAGGCAATTTCCCCGCCCAAGCGTTTAATTGCACACATTGCACACGTACTTGCCTCATGGCGACCATTGGTTAAGAAAAAAATTAATCTCGCGATAATCCATGAATTCGTGAACGCATTCGCTACGCACAAGGTCGCGCAGCACGTGATAGATAGATAGCTTTAGTGGTTCGTTGGTTCCGAGTCATCGACGGGGGATATCATCGGTGCTTCACAAGTGCTTCTTTTACCGAAGCATACACAGCTCATTGCTCATTTCATTAATTAGGTTACTTACATTTTTAACATCTTTACTCCGAATTCCATTAGTTGATTCGCGTACGACACGGCGCCCAAAAATAACTGCTTTTAGACTTTGTGCGCATTGGAATTCCTCTGGGAGAGAGATCGATATGTCGTGCGTTTTAGATCTGGAGAGATATTATTTTATATAGTTGCGGCTTTTATGGAAAGTTGTATTATTTATATATATATATATATATATATATATATATATATATATATTTATATAAAGTTTCTGTTTTTCTTTATAAGTCGTGAATGTTCTGGGAAGAAAATTATTGTCATATATAATTGTCATAAGTAATGATTTAATAAAATAAATAGAAACCAACAATTTGCGTCAAAATTATATCTAAATTTATAATATGATAGTGATAAGACACCATTACAATTTAATTAAATCAAATTAAAACAATAAAATCATATCAATAATAATTTATCATACATATTATTGTTATTTTGCAGGACTTTCGGGTTAAACGATGATTTACTTGCGCATGAATAGCATGGAGAGCCAATTAATTTGTACAAAATCAATATGTCTGATTTTTAAGTATGGGCTAATCAATTTTTACAAGTACAATCGATAAGATATTTATTCCAATGCATTCAATTGGTAATGTTAATTCAAGCATGCGAGCTTTACATTTCTTTATTCTTTTAAGCTTCGCTCTATTCTTAGTAGTCAGATTCGATATTACGTGAAGTCGTCGGACTTGCTATTTAGGACAGTCGACTCCAAAACGTTAAAATAGCTAAGGTATATTATACCACGTCGTTTATAATATTTTCATACGTTGAGATAATAAATAGATAATTATATATATATATATATATATAACTATTCTTCGATACTTTTTCATCCTTATTATTTTATATGTAGTGCATATACATACACAAATGTCATTTACATATGCATACGCTCCGAAACATAGTGATATAAAAAAATTTATATTTCTGTTCAAACTCTTATTACCAAACATTTGTATCATTGAGCCACTCATCAGTGGGTTTTTTTTATATCATCGTATAAATTGTATTGCAGACACTTGTGTTAATAAAATAAGAAATAATTCTATAAATGTTGACCAAAAATTATACTATTAAAAATGAATCGAATTTAAGCGTATTATCATCAGCATTGAGCTCTTTTTTCTTTATGAAAATATGTATTTCTTCTATATATGATTATTTTGAAATATTCAAGGTTAAGTATTTTAGTATGAACATAAAATCATAAATTTTTAAATTTTATTATATATTTATAGAATTAATTTACAAAATTATTCTACAAGATCGAATCGATATTTTCAGCTAATCGAACGTCATCTGTTGAATATGAAATATACAGACTGTTTCGATGAATTGGCCCGTCAATTCCTATAATTCTCAATACTTTCGATTCGAGATGCAACTTGTAATTTTTCATAAATATGTATGTGTACAAACGTTTTTGCGGTGACAGTTCTAAGAGTCGGTACCCTTGGTAAATCAAATTTAATTTATTCTATATGCATTTTAAAAATCGTCACTATTTCATAGGATTATATAATTTGTAATATTAAATTTATCAATATTGTTTATAAATATTCGAGGAAAATTAATTTTCAACTGTGTGCCCAACATTTAGTTTTGTAAATAAGTTTACAATAGAAAACATTAAGAGTGCAATTTCCTATGATCAAACTTATTTCAATGAAGTTATATACAACACAATTATAAATTTATCCAACAACTACGCAAGTTATTTTACCTTTCAATATTTTCTAATAATCCTCTTAGTAATCGTACGGAGATTTTTGCCATGAGATTCAAATTTTCAATTTAAGTAGTGGTTTTTTTTTTTTTTTTTTTTTGTTTTATCAGTTTTTACATTAACTTTTATTCGTGCTATTAATTCAATGTGTATAATGCACGAAATTTTAATTTTCATAAAAATGATATAGATTATGTATATCGATATTTTTAAATACTTTTAAATCAATAATCGAACTTCCATTCACAAAGAATTGGAATTGTCCAGTGCTTAAGAATATTTAGACACCTTATTAATTTGAACAATTTTTCATTTGTTATTAACGAAAATAGGTGGTATGATAAATGCAAAATTTATGCAACAATATTCTGTCGTTGCTTTTGTAAAATAGGAAATAATACTCGGAATATAAATAGTAAAATAAATACAAGGAATATAAATACTAATTTATACTTTTAATTATCAGTTCCATGATAATTCTATAGTCTTTATTTTCATCATATTTTATAAATAAACAAACAAATTGCAATTGTGTCTGTTGATACACTTAAAATATATTATAATAGGGTAAATTCATTAAATATCACAAGAAGATGTGTATATAAATAGATAATATCTATCCATCAAATTTGCTATGTAGTGTAGCCATATTAATGGAAATTTTAAAATTTGCACGAGTTTATTTACAATTGAAAAATTCTAATTGATTAACATAGTTGTAATGTGTTGACGAATAAGGAAAGAGAATAATTGTTAATGACGCTTTCGCAGTCATAATTTCGTAATATATTATTATTAACACGAATAAATAATAAATTCTTTTAATTATCCAATGATCAAAAGATCCAAAAGATTTATCGATTTCGAAGTGAAATGTTTCAGTTGGCATGGTGTGTTTTCAATTTACATTATATGATTTAAAATTGACTTTATATAAAACGATGGTTTTATGACTTATTAGATGGACAATTCGATCGATCCTCCCATCAAGACAAAGTTTAAATGCTATTTTCAAATATTCAAATTGAATCAACGAATGCCATGTGTTATTATTGAATTGCAGAGCATAATGAACTCGCAATGAAAATAATTTAACAAATTACAAAGTCTGCCTTTTCACGAGGCACCAATGAAATATTTAATGGGACAAACGTTTGACTTACTCGCTTTCCCAATACCACTTACTTCGGCGATCCTCTCGGCGAACTTTCGGACTGCCATCGAGCGCCAAACCAAATACCAACCAAAAAGGTCAACGATCCTCAAATCAATATTTCTCATAAAGAATGCCCATCACGTGCAGAAAAATTCGAAAGCATATTCTTGCGGAGTTGCGGGCCGAAAGCGGATGAGAAAGACCTCACGCGCACATCAACATATTACACTCCTACCCGGTCGGGGCCAACCAAAGTCCGACGCCTCATCGTCGCGACTCGTCACCGGCTACGGCTACGGAGGGGTGATCGGCTACTCGTAGCCAAACCTGCGACGCGATCCCCATATCAATTGACTCGCCGACGAGTACGATCGAGCTTAGATCGCAGCACGGCATTTTATTTCCGATTTACTCGCGACCGAGCATCCGGACCGTGACGACATTCCACCTTCTGGCTCCGCTTCCGCCATATCGCTCCGGGGTTTGAAGATTCCAATCTGCGAGGTTCCCGCGCACTCAACTCTCACAAGTATATCAATTTCATCCATTACATTCAACCAGATCTCGCGTGCACGCTATCCCCCCCCCCATATATATATATATATATATATATATATATATATATATCTGTTCGACATTCGTTTGCACTGGCTTTATCTTATTTGTGGTGTGTCGTTAAATTCGTTGATAAGTATATTAACACTCTGATGGTTATTACAGTTGAGATGGCCCCTATCGGTACCACTAAGTCAATTAATATTCTGCAAAACCGGTTTTGGCAATTCTGATTGTAATAAGAACTTTTCTCTTATTTACATTCATTACTTGTCATTCTGAATTCAGATAAACCATTAATTTAATTTACTATTATTTTTTAATAGGATTAATTACACGAATACGGCAATCATTTATTCTAATCCTGTAAAAGTAACTTGAATTCTTTGAAATTTTTATTACTGTACTATTTTACTTAAATTTTACTTCCTGTTTCCATTTCAATACGAAGATTTTATATTAATTTAATTTTAAATTTGGTCTTACTTTGCTTCTGACTATAAATTTTATTCTCTTTATTATGAAACTAAATATTACCAGTTTACATTAATTCAGCTTATCTAACATCTTATTTAAACATCTTATTTAATTTTATTTAATCTCGTAATTGTAAATGTAGTGCTCGAAATGTAAATATGGAATCATCGAATTATTTTACTTGAAAATTTTTTAAATTTTGAAAAACTTCTTAACGATAGTGTTATTTGTTTTTCTTTAGTTTTCTCAACAATAATGCCGTTCTATTAATTCTATAATTTATAGAAAATTGTTTCAATTAAATTAATAACAAAATGCAAATTTAAGCTTATTTCCTCGATCTTATGCATCATATCCAACAGGTTTAATTCATACAAACATATATCAATATTTTTAATAAAGCCATGATTTATCAATTTTCTAAATTTTCCTACATAATCTCGAACCACGAATATACACGAACATGCTGAAAAGTGAAAGTTTATTAATTCTATTTAATTCGTCAAAATTTAGCCGAATGAATAACAAAGTACTTTTATTTTTACAGTGGCATCTCTAATTTATTGGCGCGATCCGAAAAAGTCGGGAATCGTTTTTGGTGTAACACTCGGAGTGCTTTTATCACTGGCCTACTTTAGTCTGATCAGTGTTCTAGCTTACATATCTCTTTTTATTCTCCTTTTCACCATCGCTTTCCGTATCTACAAGACTGTCATTCAGGCCGTTCAAAAAACGTCAGATGGACACCCATTCAAGTAAGTATATCGAAAGTTTTTTGCCTCCTCGTCTTCACTTGCAACAGCCTAGAAGGTCAAATTTCAAGGCATTGAATAACTGTAATAATACATTACAGTTTATTAAAATATTTTAATAAATATGTTTAGTTTATAATATAAAGTTCAATTAAGTTTAATCGAAAGAATGAGAAACCTTATTGTAATTGGAATACAGAACAAGTAATAAGAATGTGAGAAAACTACTATGACTGTTGAAAGAATACCGTCCGTTAACTATCGTATAACGTTGTGAAATATAGTTTCCCGTTACCGCACGTGTGAACTCAATTAACCTTGTCTTTAACATTAATTTATCCGCTGGGCTCCAAAAACTTTACCTACAATGCAATTTGGTAGTGTCAAAAAATTCTAGTAAATTTATAATAACTTAATTTATACTTTATCACATATCTATGATGATGATGATGTCCCGTTATTATTGTTAAGACTCGTGTAATTCACAACACTTATTAGGCATTTATATATATATATATATATATTTTTTTTATAATTATTTAAAATAATCACTAATGAATAATAGGATAATAAAAGCTTAAAATTAAAAAAATCAATGTCCTTGATTTTTTTTGAAAATTAACATTTGTTGTAAAAATGAAAAATGTTCAATTATTTACTATTTTAACTATTAAGATATAAAACTAATAATTTTCCGCGCTATTAACTACTTATTAACAACGGAATGTTATCACATTTCGTCTGGTTTTTTCACTCAATATATTATTCACACTATCAAATGAAACTATGAATTCTAAAAGTTTTATATGCTTTTTTAAATGCTAAACGTGATTAGTATATATATATTTTTTATTTCAGTTTGTTTTTCGATTGAAAACGTTAAAAATTTATTGTAGAATTTATAAAATTACATTTTGTACTTTAGTATTTTAAATTAAGTACACAAGTATTAAGTACCACTATTATTCAAGTATCACAATTGGCATAAATTGACTGGATATTTTAAAGAAACAGCACAATATTTTAAATGTAAATGTCAGTTGTGTAATTAACGAAACGATTATTAACAAACAAATGCTCTCTCTCTCTCTCTCTCTCTCTCTCTCTCTCTCTGTCTATTACTATTGCTATATGTAGCTTACGTTTTCTTAATCTAACATCAACAGTCCATTTATATTTAAGTCTTTCTGTTCAAAATTTAATCCGTATATAAGCGATGCCAATCTACTATTAGGAGTTTTTTTTTCATTGCGTATCAAACGTTGAAATATAACGAAATATATAATTTCTCTATAAATAAGGTATAAATATTATTCTCATATTATCGTATACGACAAAAAATTGTATTACAATAGATAACCAAAATAGCCTTTTTTTTTTTTTTTTTTTTTTGAATTTATGTATTCTATTTATGTCACATCAGAGTTTGTTATCGTTATCAAGCCGAATTAATGGAAACTTTGAAAATAACAAATTACAATTATAAAATATACAATATAAAACACCTCAACGCTTATCTGACTTGATCTTTTCTTATAAAGCATCGATTCACTTTCCAACTTAAGATTATTAACCAAATTAGGATACGTTATAAGTAAACGACAAAAAGATATGAGATGAGTTGGTTCGTGCAAATATCCAGAATACATTGTTATAAAATAATAAGCTTTATTTAAGGTGTAACGAACCCGTTTTAACGTGTAACGAAAAATCTTCCAAATGAATAATGCCTGAAGTGGTTAAGGACGAGCTCACTAATAATGGCTTCTCTGCCCTTTCAGAGACATTCTCGAACTTGACCTGACGCTGCCCAGCTCGAAGGTGCACGAAGTTGCCGACATTGCGGTTGCGAATGCTAATGCAGCCGTAACCGAACTGCGCAGGCTTTTCCTGGTCGAGGACTTCGTTGATTCGCTCAAGTTTGGATTCTTGTTGTGGTTCTTCACGTACCTTGGCTCATGGTTCAACGGAATGACCCTCATCATCATCCGTCAGTATTCACAATTTTAATTTTATCTGTAAAGTCAATAGGTAATCAATTTATCTCGGAATCAATTTATTATTCCGACAGTTCAATGTAGGTTGTAATCAGTGACTTAAAATAATTTTATGAAATAACTTTGGCTAAATGTAGTCAAAATGTAAAAATAAAATCGTGATTGTAAAAAGAGAGTAGCGCTCGTTCCATTTGGATTCAAGTATGTTTTTAAGTTTACAGAAACATGGGCAAATAAAACGATCGAGCAATTGTGCGATTTTCTGTATTATGTTGAATTCATGTTAAAATGTTTTTTT